ACATCACTAAAAAGAAGTCAGATGGGGGAAATAAACTAGAGTAGGCAGAGTATCAAACGTATTTGAAAGACAAAACAGAGGCAGACCTTCCAGAAATTAATACCCCAACTGTTGGTTGTGACTTCCTGGTTCAGATTTACCATATTGTGGTACCTTTGTGCACACAGTACCAGTTTCCTGTGCAATGAGAGCTTATCACAGATGGTTATCTTACATAGCAAAGTGAACATGTTGGCGAAACAGGCCTTCAGCAAGTGCTGTGTGGTTACAATGTTATTATGACAGAAGGAAATGATGGCCAAACCTACAAAAGTTAGAACCAAGTTGTAATAAACCTTATATCCTTTGATATTATAAGGGCCCATTAGCAAGAGTGGGTTTGCATGTTTTAGCCTTTTCCCTCTCTCTCTTTCCTGCCACCTTACGTTCTGTCTGTGTTGTCACAGGTACGGCCGTGACGCCAAGGTGGTGCACTTCCTGGGCAAAGTGAAGCCGTGGAACCACTCCTACGACGCTCAGAGGGGCGAGGTCAGAGGTCACTCCCTGTCCCCCGACCTGAGCCAGTTGCACCCCGACTACTTGCTCATGTGGTGGCAGCTGTACGCCAAGTCTGTACTGCCTTTACTGCAGCAGGCCTACGGAGACACTCCCTTCAGCAGCGGCTTCGTAGAGGCGAACGAGAATGTATGTCAGCCGTCGTGCATGTGTTGAAACTTTTAAATGAGAATGACTGTGACTCTGTGTGTATAACCTGTTGCATAATCGTCATGTCATAACTGTGTCGAAACCTCTAATTGCTAGGTGACCTACTCTTCCTCTAGGACATAGATTTAAAATGTGTAAATCTATCATGGTTTGCAATTACCAAGTGGTGAAAGTGCCAGATATTGAAGTTTTAGTTTTAGTTTTAGTTTAGCCACAGTAACAAGGAAAAGTCGATTGGTTCTGCATTCCTCAACACCAATCTGTTGCCAAGAGTTGTGTTTGTTGCTGCTGGTATTTCCAGTCCTGTGTGTCAGAAACATGCAGGGTGCCAGGCCTCCAACAACTGTACAGCACTTCACAGAGTAGCAGGAAGTTGCCACGCTGCCTGTTGTAACAGGGCAGCAGTGAAATAGTTTAAAAAGAGGATGGCTGCCAAAATCTGCAGCTTTGCCCAATTGCCTGAAGCTGTGCCATCTTGTGTCACACTGACATGTTGATACAGGTGGGCACACTGGTTTTTTACTACTTGCGCTGGCTCGGGCTGAGGTTTTCTCAATCTGTATACCAAGTGAATCTTGAAATATAAGACTTTCGTTTATTGCTCAAAGTGAAACAATTCTACTTTTGCTTGAACAGAGAAAAGAAAGAGTGGCAGCTACAGGATGCTGGCACAAAACATTTTAACCATAATTTCTCCAAATTCTCTAGTCAGTTATTTTTAAGTTAAAGATTTGAAGATAATGAAGATTATTTAGCAACCTGACTGAGGCCGAGTGAAAATCTGTGAATTTGCTCAGTAATCTTTCACAGCAATATCTGTCAAAGGTTTGCTAAAATTGTTGGGTTGTAGCAGCAAAACCCTGAAGTTTATTTCATTTCTAAGAGGAAGGTTTCGTTAATTCTTCTTTCAAAATATACATCATATCTCTTTTCTTCGTTCATCTTTAATCTGAGTTTAAGATGATTTTGTGACATCAATGGTCTAATATACAATTTACAGTGTCTGAGTCTGATGTGAACTAAAGTCTTCAGTGCAAACACACTGAGAACAGACTTTTCAGTGGAATGTGACACGTGTCCAGCAATTTATCTCAAACTTTGAAATAAAAAATATTTGCATATTAATAGATTCTGGGTTCAGTAGATGAGGAGTATTGTTAAACTATATCAGAAACACATTATTACTCAAAGTATTTTCATGATTTAAAGATTGTATGACTGACTAATATATATATTTTTTATTCTAGTTCATGATCGTTTTCGAGTGTACTTTAGGAAGCCATGTTCTTCATGTTAGAAACATGCCGGTACACAACTCTTATCTGCAAGCAAGTGTGTTGCAAAATGTCTTCTCTGTACTTTGACTCATCTGACGAAACACTTGCATATACTTCTCGTGTCTTAACTGTAGAAAAGATTGTCCAGCGGAGCAAGGCTGAACTTGGGGGAACTTGTCCTTATAAAGTATTGCTCCAGTCCCATTTAGTGATTCATTCATTCTCTCTGTCACGCAGGGTAAGCTTCATGAAGATGTGAGAGAGCAGCCGGCACCCTTTGCGCCTCCTCCGCAGAAGGTTTCATCAGAGGAGAGGAAGCAGCGCTGGGAAGCGGGCCAGATTGACTACATGGGTGACGACTCCTTCGCCAACATCGAGCGAAAGCTTGACTCCTTCTTAAAGTAGCGGGCAGGGGGCGAGGGGGTGCGACGGACAGAGAGAGCAGCAGTTTGAAGCCCTGTGTGGGTGGGAATTTAAGCACTGCTCAGCCAATCACGGGGCTTCATTAGCAGGTGACTGGGTGAATGCCTCTGTGCAAGTTTCAGCCTCACTCTCTGCTTCCTGTGTGTGTTTGAATGACAGAGAGTTTGACACAGTTTCCCATGCACTCTTACCATTCATTATTTTCTCTCCAAAGAAAAGTTTGACATTTTGGGGAAATGAAAACACTCATTTGCTTTCTTGCCAAGCAGCAGTACAACCAAGGGGTTACTGTGGCCACCCTGATACAATTGCAGTTGTAGTTTATGTGAAAAGATGAACAGAAAATTGTACACTTTTTTTTAAACAAATGAGATAAAACACATAATCAGTTGTAACAAAGTTAAAATTTAATTTTCCCACCCAGAGTAGAAAGTTTTAAAGGTGCTGGTAGGTGGATACTGTTACATTTGGACAGAGCCAAGTTAATCTGGTTCCAGTCTTTGTGCCAGGCAGTGGCTATACCACACAGACATAATCTTCTCATCCAACTCTTGAAAAGAAAGCGAATAAGCATAACGTTACTTCCCAAAATGTCAGACTGCGTATTCTTAAAGGTGTTCTTGTGCATCTGATGGAGATGGATTCAGTCTTCCTAACCTGTGGAAACTTTCAGTAACAACAGAAACTGTGGAAATGGCCTGTGGTTGAAGGGAAATCAATATGTTTAAAAGTTGTTTCTGGATTTGACCACATTTCTTAACCTGCAATAACTTTGAAGCAGATATGCAGTTACTGGCTCACTTACCTCTTACAGTCCCTGCTCTGCTTTTCAGCCAGTTATAAAAACCCTGCTTTAATCAGACAGTGTTCACCTCACCTGAGTACACAGATAACCGTCCCTACCTGTGCCTCTGACACTCACCAGCTCCCTGTGACTTCAGCTTTGTAATGTCTGGTATTGTGTTAGGTTCAGGGCCATAGACTATAATAAATAATGGATGGAGCCACTGTGATGTCGCACATTGACTTTGATGCCACAGGTTTGACATTATAGCCTTCGCCATCTTGGTTTTTTGAAATCAGAGTGACCATATTCGGACGAGAGCTGGAGCTGTGGAGGATATGCATTGTTACGCCTCTTTCCTGATTGGATCGGACTGAGAACCTGAGAACACATCATGGTAGCGACTTGTCAATCACGAGGTAGCCACACCCTAAAGTATACCCTGCTTTATTGTCAATCAACTCTAAATGGAACCATGATTTACAAAATGAACATCATGATGTTTTGAACACTTGAAACTAGTGATCGGTAAAAAAAAATCAAGTGATAAGTATTTTTTCATAAACTTACATACAATTGGACTTATTTTGCAACCAGGGTCACCTCCTGCTGGCCATTAGAAAGAATGCAGATTTAAGGAAATTCCCAGAAGCTCCGTCCCCTTATTATTCTCTCTATGGTCATAGCCTGCTGTGTTGTATTTGCATGGCACAGAGTTCAAACGTGGGTCGGTAATGAAATCCATCCACATCCTCAAGTGATATTAACAGTCTGATTTGTATGTATTTGTGCGTTTCCCAGACATGTCACATGTGTGCGTGCCCTGCATGTAATGTTCCTGCCAGACCAACATCCGTATATCTCTGTGCCATGACTTGTTTCATCACTTCCCGTCTGTAGTGTTACCAGCTGCCTTATTGCCGTTTACTGTTTACAAAACCTCACTTACTGTAACTGCTGCTAGTAGCACAACAAACTGAACTTTACTGAATCCCTCCTTTTATTTCACTCCAGCTTTGTGCCCTTAAACTAAAACTATAATCTATAGCTCCTAACGATGAGAATACGTTCCTCACTTCATTACACACACTTCTACCAAGAGGCTGGCAAGGTTGAGAGAAAAGTCCATATGCGATCTTTCTGATCTTGTCAGCCTGCTAAATCCCGAATATGCATGAGTGTGGAAGTGGAACATAATTGTAGTGACATGGGTTAATACAGGTCTGTCCTGTTCCTCAGCTGTTAACTGTACATCCCTGTTGAAGCGCTAATAAAGAACTTGTGAAAACCTTTTATCCATCCCTTCTGTCACGAGTTTCATTTTCTTTATACTCTAAAGGGAAGCAATTAATCATTCATTAGTCTATGAAATGTCACAATATAGAAAAGGTGGCCTTTTTTTTTGTTTTGTCCAACACGTGACAAAACAGAAAGGAATCGAATCCTCATATTTTAAAAGCACCTAAAAAAAAAAACAAAAAAAAACCCACACATAAATGATTGTCAAAATTGACTAAATGATTAATTGCTTCAGCTCTAATCTGATGCACACAATTATGTAAACAATTATTTTCCCTCCAACTTCATGTTTTTGTTAGAAAAGCTACAAGGTTCTGAAAGCTGCTGCATTTACAGTAGCTACAAATGTACAATATCAGTGGTCTGTATTTCTTTAATCCAACAAAATGGAACATACAGAACATCTTAATCTTCAGGGCTGATAACCTGAAGAGTTAAGCTACAGGTTGGTATTTCTCCCCAGTCTTTATTCCAGGGTATTAACTTTCAACACACTCGGCCAACTCCGTGCATTAGCGGAGCTTATCATAAATCAAAGACACACAAGTCCTGCGCATGCATCATGTAATTAAATCAGTATCAAAATAGTAATTAGATAGAAGTAGAAAGAAAATTTAGAACATGATAAACTATAAAAGAAACAATCACTTTTCAAAATATGCACAAAACATTGACAATGTTTGCAAGGAAGCTATGCAGCCTTTCACGTGAACTGTGAGGCCCAAAAGACAACTGTTCAAACACAGCTCAAAGACATTTCAATGTCCACTGTCTGTCTAAAGCTCCATCAGAGCTTTTATGTCATCGATCCGAGATGTTTTCCTATCAGTGTTCGTGGGGCCGAAAGCCTTCTCCACCAGGTCCTGCTTCTGCCTCTGGATCTTCACCATGCTCTCCTCCACTGAATCTTTCACAATGAACTGCAGCAACCGACAAAATAAAAATATAGTCAGTGATCTTTTTCATGTACTTCTCTGTAGTCTGAGACTATGGACTATCCAAATAGCTTTTAACCTATAATATTATATATATATGAATAAATCATTTTAAATATGAAGATATCTTTTAACCATCAGGTATGTGAACAGGTATGTGAGTTGTCTTGGTGAACATACAGTACAAACATAGTTTTTCAGCCTTCACGGTGTAACATTACAGACAGTAAAAGAAACTACTGAGGAAAAAATGATGCCTCGTCACAGACAGGAAACGCACTCTCACATACAGAGTTCTAGTTTTCTGACCTTGGTGACGACAACCTTCTTCTTCTGTCCCAGACGGTGGCAGCGGTCGATACACTGCTCCTCAGTAGCAGGATTCCATGCCTAAAACACACAGTTATACTTTTAACTTCAGTCTGTTTTTCTCTTTACTTACTTAGTAGATGACGGCCCAAACAAAGGTCACACAATAGTCATATATATGTATATATGTGAAATAGTGCTTCTATTCTACTTCTGCAGGAAATCTTAACACATAATTAAATCTGAATATATTTAATAATTTACCCTTTGTCACGACTACTGTCACAATATCCCAATATAGCGAAACAGCCATTAAAAAAATTAATAAAACAAGAAAAAGAGTTATCAAAGCAAACAAGTACATGTCCTGGTCTAACCATTTTACTTTATTAACACAACTTAGGCCACAACTCATGTTTTTTGAAATGTAATTCTCAGTAAACCTGCAGTGACAGCTTATAAACATTTGTATGTTGTATTTGTATTTGTATTTGTATTTGTATGTGGCTTCAGCGTGCACCACACGATACATAAAATGAGGCCTGGTTGTTCAGTACGTGTGAATGTGTCAGGTTCCTGGCAAAAATCAGTACTTACAGGGTCCATCAAGAAAACACGAGAGGCAGCGGTCAAGTTAAGCCCCACCCCTCCAGCTTTGAGTGACAGAAGCATGATGGCAGGGCTGTCGGCTGCAGAGCTCTGAAACTCCTGGATGACTTGAGCCCTCCTCTTTTGGCTCATGTTGCCGTCCAAACGCACAAAACTGAATCCATGCTCTCTGGCAAAGAGGAGGGAGGACAATGGAGGCGAGTCATAAAATAACATAACGAATAATTAAATGCATGAAATCTAGAAATTCTCTACTTAAAAGATCCTGGTGCACAGATCTCTAGACTTCTAAAAATCCCAAACCTCTACTGTAAATGTGTGCATTACCTGAGTGGAGTCTCCAGTACGGTGAGGAAGCGTGTAAACTGAGAGACGACCAAACACTTAATGCTGCTGTCTTCACATCGCAGCCTGAGCAGATTTCCCAGCAGCGCTTGCACCTGAGGGGACAGAAACAGGATTTAAAAGGAGGAACATCACTGTCACTTTGCTGAAGAATATGTTTTGAGTGACCGCTGAGCAAAAAGGGGAAAGAGTCACAAAAAACAACAGGATCAGAAGAGCTACTTAATCAGTAATAGGTTGAGACTCCAAAAGTCAGTCCAATACACCTCATACTCAAGGCCTTTTGAGTTTGCTCTCAACTGAATACAGATATGTATGGAATGATGGAATTCAGGGCAATTTTGTATTTGAGCATTTTATTTTCTGCTGAAAAAGAAAAGAATGTTAAAGCTATGGATGTAAGAGGATACTAAAATGATTTGTAGGGAACTTAACATGAAAGATTTTACACAGCACTAAAACATCTTGCAGTCCAACTTCAACTCAAGCACATTTCCTTTTAAGGTTTTAAAAAAATAGTGTTCTGCATTTTTGAGAGGTCTACAGAGTGTTATTACTATTTTTACCCCTAGTTAATTCTGCACACTACGTGCAGTGTACCTTTGAGCTTGTCCTCCACTTCTCAGAGTTTGTACTGCTCTCCTCCTCCATTTCCTCCTGTGGAAACTCCACCAGTTCACTGCTCTTGATCTCATTTCGACAGAGAGGACAGCGTGCCTTTTCCTATGCACAGACAGAGCACAGATAAAAGATGGATCTGTTAATAACCGGCAGTTAAATAACCTATTACATAGTAACAACTTTCCTTTAAAGTTAACTGTCCAGTGAGAATTGGATTACAAACCGGAGTTGTCTGCAACACATGTACCTGCTGATTGCTGATAACCTGGACGATGCAGGGTCGGCAGTAAACATGGGCGCAGCGTGTGATGACGGGCAGACGGACGGAGTCCAGACACACAGAGCACTCCTCGTCAGAGCCGCTGGCCAACACCAACCGCAACTTCTCTATCAGACGCTCCCGCAGCTCTGCAGGCGTTGCTGCGGCACCTAGAAGCACAATATATATCAATTTATACATAAAACTTATGCTGGATAAAAGAAATCTTACTAAAACACGCACAGCACAGCAAACTGTCTATCATACTCTACATATCATGTACATAAACTGTACAGAAAAAGACCTTGCAAACACCACAGTAGACCTGAATATATAGATCAAATAAATCATCATAGAAATCTTCAGCATGATTGTTTGCTTATCAAGTGACCTCAGGGTTCAGAAGCTATACAATACCCAAGTCTGAGGATGTTTTTGCCAGCAGATCAGGGTGGCAGCAGTACTGTCGAAGCCTCATCAGGATAGCCAAGACATCAGCATAATTCCTCAAGACTGTCCCTTCAGCTACATATCTACGCACACAAACAGTTAAGACAAATTAAAGAACAGTTTACAGTAAAAAGTTAGTAACATCCCTGTGACATCTAACGTAATATCTATGAACAGCCACATGTTCTGTCAAAATGGCTTCATCGGCTAATTGTTGCTCATCACTTTTATCAAAATGATTTCAACATGAATGCACATGTACTTACACACACTGACACATACCTGCCAATGGTGTTTTTTCCCTCATTTCGTGCCAGCTCATACTCCTCCCGCTCTGACTGGCTCAGCTCAACCTGCTCCACACACACGGTCTTCTCAGGCAGAGACACGAGAGGGCGCCCATTCACCTCACTGCTCTTGGTCCGCCGCAGGGTGATGCACTTCACCAGGGTCTGAAGGTTCCTGCATACAGTATGAATTGCCTGAGTTTATTCTATAATCTGATGTCTGATTATCAGCAGTATAATAATGAGAATCATCTTTATGGTCATTGTCACAGGTACAGGAAATTTAAAGGGGGGGGGGAGAAACAAGAGAAGAGGGGAGGAGAAAAAAAAAAAAAAAAAGGAGGAGCCAATGTCCGGGGGAGAGGTCCCAAAGTTAGAGAACAAAGACAGCGACGGAGAC